ATGACCAGATTGGTGTAGCTTCCGTTCTTCTGCCGTTCTTCACTACTTTCCATATTTGTGCTGAGGGTAGAGGCAGGGAGAGGAAAGGTTTTCTTTCGGCTTTGGTCTTTGACCCTCAGGAAAGTGCTGTCAATTTTGGCCGAAATCTACAAGCAAGAAGGTGCTGGAGACATGGATTGAAAGTGAACGTCACGCCAACCCTCTTGAGTTGCCCTCTGTCTTGTGAGAATCTGATGCCAACTAGCACTGTGAATGCCGGAACATGCCAATCCCACTTGCAACTGCAAATGAGCAACTTTTGGGCAACTTCGTTCTATTTCAGTCGCATCCGGGCAGAAATTTGCAGCAAAGAGTGCGATGATAAGATCTTGAAAGCAGACGCCTCAGTTTATGTCCGGAAACTCTCCAAGAAATCCAGAAGAAAGATTGCAAGACTGCAGTTGCAATCTGCCCGTACTCATCAAACACCTTGCTAAGATCTTCAAAGGGATTCCACAGAACGTGCTGGTCAGCCGTGACCTCAGCCAAAATCAGGCCACGCGAGATAAGAACTAGTTTTTTTGTCTTTGCTGCCATCCAGTCAGCTTGCACAAAAATTGAACTATCATAGTAGCCAAGATATGTCACAGCTCCCACCATTGAGGATACAATGAACCGGATGGTACCCAGTAGCAAGTGTATTGGACCTGGGGATTCCCAAGGACTCTTCGATTCAAAGGTTAGACTCTCTCTCTCTCTCTCTCTGTCTGTCTCTCGTACAAGTGCGCAGTGTATAATAATTTCAATCCTGAACTGGTATTTATTATGGACAACGTGATTGGCAGTGGGAGACTATGTCCCATATCAAAAAGTTTTCAACTAAGGCTTGAGTCTCCCATCTTGCCTCCTAGGTGCTGCCTCGAACTTCTCAGAGAAGCAGCAGAAAAAAATCGTTGCTTGGACAGCATACATACAAACAAACACACCCATTCCCGACAGAGGCTGAGACTCAAGAGGGCGAAACCAGGGACTCTGTTTGGTTGATTCTGTGGTTCATTCATGGGTGGGTACTCAAGCACCTCGAAATAACTTCTCACTCGTAGTTCTCCTTGTAGCTAAGGAAAAAATGCTGCACTCCTAATTGTGAGAGCAGGCGTTGTTCAGGTTCACCCCATTTGCTTCGCTTTTGGGGTCGGGCTTCTTCAACAATAGCCAACAACCAACTCCTACCTGCACACCCACAATAGTCGCAGCTGCGATGCACGTGACAGACCTGACCCCGTCATGCGTTTGGTCCAATTAGTTCTGCGAGAGCTGCCCAGCTAGACACTGAGATCGTAGAGAGCATCATTTTGCAATACCAACTGATGGTCAACTAGTTGGTGCCAGTGGTGCCAGCAAAGGAGATACGATTTGGTTCTTTGATGACTAAACTAGTTTGGTTTGCTTTGCTTTCTTAAGCTGAACACGCTCACGCCTTGAGCGATTTGATCACCTCTGGCTTTGACAGAGTTCTGGTCAGCTGGTTTGTGATCCGAGTAGAAGTCTGGCAAGTGCAGAGTTCGCACAAGTTTCCAGCCCGCAGGTCAAGCTCTATCGTAGCTCCTGCGAACAGACTAAGTTTACTCTACCAGTTTATAGCCATATGATTATGATGGCACATGTATGCATATGTATATTTTACTTATACCATAATACACTCATACACATGCAAATGTACTGTAAGGATGTCTTCTGTTACAGCAACTTGCCAGTTCACAAACCGTAGTCGCTGGTGGTCTCCAGGGACCTGCCCTGCTCCTTGGGGCTTAAGAGGCAAAGACCTGGTTATTTTGCACATGGGGATTCACGTCACTTGGCTGCAGAGATCTTGATGCTGTGGTGCGAAAGGCTTTAACAACTATCATAGCGGGAGTTCCCTAATCACTTTAAGAGCTTAAGTCATGTTGGCTGGCAAGGTTTGCCTGTGCGGCCTGCACGGCCTGTTTCGCTGTTTCATTTCGAATCTAAGGCAGTGAAGATGACGGGATGACTCTGCTGTGCGACAACCCGCACTGCCCGCACTCACATTTTCCGGCCGCCTCGTTTGGATCCATTGCCCTGGCAGCATCGTAATTATCGTACCGAGCCAGAGCTGGAGCCGCTGTTTCAAACAAAAAAAGGAGCTGATTTGAGAGTTTGATGATTAGGGCCATATAGGGCCATATAGGGCCATCCCTTTCCTGTGTCAACCACAGATTGCAAAGACAGAGTCACCCCAGCACCCTAGCTCCCTGAATTACCTTATTGGGCCAATTATTGGAGAGTTTGCGGACAAAGATCAATCATTGCTGAAAAGAGCATCTCAGCATGGTTATGCTATCAGCATCCAATATATTACATAGTATCGTATATAATCAAATACATATATGTAAATATCAAGCCACCTGTTCTACTTGCACAAACTCCTTTCCTTTTCGATGCTGCGTGCCAAACACTTGTAGGAGACCGTTGTGTCACCATGTAGAGCGTCAAGATGGAG